GCCGCCCAGAGAGATTTGAGTTGGGCCCAGTTTGTCGTGTCTGTCTTGTGGAAGGCGGCTGAGGGCTTGTCTGCGGATGGAGACGGATGGGGGAAGTTTGCGATGGTGGTCTCGGCTTCTGGGCGGAGGGCGAGGTCTGCGATCATTACCGAGCAGCCTTCGTTGAGAAGGCGCTGGGTGATGGCTAGACCGATGCCTAGAAGAACCATGAATATCGTGCAAGCCGGCGATCGAGATATCTTCGATCAAAACCCAAGGGTATCGTCATTGAAGGTATGGTAGAGATGGAGACTACTTACCAGATCCAGCTCCTGTAACCAGGGCTACCTTTCCCTTGACCTCGTATTCGATGGCCATGATAAGTGGTCAAAGTGCAAGCTTGATGGTATAGATTCTAGGTGTGTTTCTGACTCGCTTGCGCTGTTGATAAATCAGAGTTTCACAATGATATGCTCCTTGGCACAAAAGTCGGTTTCAAAGATCAGGAAAAAGGAAGATAAAGGGGGTTCAATTACATGACTTGTTAGGTGACATCAAAACCATTGCTGGATGATCTTATAGGATGAGGATCTTCTCTCAGGGGCCCTTTTTCAGATATGCTCAGGAAGGTCAAGACGGACGGACTTTTCAGAAGGATGGGCGGTCAACGACCAGGACCCCGACTCTAGTTATCTTCAAGACGACAACTTGCTTTAACCCCGCGTTCCTGCATATATCCCCGGCTCAGCTGTCAACGGGGGTGATGCGGACGGGTACTGGGTCAGACCATCCGCTGGCCGCGTATCCATCCTGTTGGGCGTCCAATGCCCAGGCACTTCGACTCGCATAAATTATCCATGTATAGGGGATAGTTTAAGGTCAGAAACAATCGCAATCAGGAGAATTAGACAAAGTCCATGATCCACAAACTTTGACGGATAATGATTCAACAAGACAATACACCTTCAACACCTTGACTGGAAAGTCAGAATGCATTACATAGTATATGTAAGAACGAAGAAATGTACTACGAAGAAATGTACTTTCTACTCCGTACGGGCGGAGTAGTCCCCCTCGTTCCCTGCTGCCGACTTGCCAAGATACTGTTGGTGCTGGGTTTCCATATGCAACCTTTCGCTTTGACGTCTCCCGTCCCCATACCATATGTCCAGGGCCCCTGTCAAGTACCGCATACTATCACACAACCAACATCCCACACTGGTGCATTTGCCGGGGTGTTCCAATCCGTTTAATTCTCCAACAGACATTTTTGATTGAACCCGAGCTTGACGTATTCGTACCTGACGCGGTTCGCAGCCGAATCAGGCCAACGCACATGCAAAGACGCTCCTTCGAGTCCATGCCAGGGATGTCAGGGACATAGGTGCAATAGAGAATTTTGGTCCTCCCATGAGGGACCACGGTCATCACCTCCGCTTCGGTGGCAAGGTTTGCTGTCTATACATTTTCTCCGAAACCCTCTTCACTACTAGTGGCGTCTTCGCAGAATGTAGAAACCGAAATCGATTCCTCTTCGAGACTCGTCCCAAGACTATTTCTTCGTCTCCGGCTCAGCTACTACGAAATCGGCGGAGAGGAATCGTCATGTCCAATGTGGCCGGAGACGATACGTGGCAGGCCGTCGAGCCTCAGGGGCTCGCATTGGGGCTCCTAGTCACTACCGTCACGTTGGCGATTCTGACAACTATCGTCATGGCCATGCGCGTGTTCATTCGATTCAAGACGAACAAAATCGGTTCTGACGACTGGGCTATGTTGACAGGATTCGTAGGTCGACTATTTTCCGGTCGGCTAAAAAAGAAGCTAACTGCAAGACCGTTCGTTTAGTCTGTCAACTTGGGCCAGTCCGCTGTTGCGATCTACGGGTCTTTTACTGGCATAGCGAGCAAAGATGAGACCATGAATCGAGCGACGAGCATAGAGGGCTACAAGGTACGTTGTGATGGCATTGGACAGACCTACTACACACAAATTAGTAGGCCTATTGTTGCTAAATCTATGCGGTCAACGGCAACTAGACACTCTTGATCTGGCAAGCCTTCTACGCTGGCAGCTTGTGCTTCATCAAGTCCAGCATCTGCATCACTTTAATGCGCATCACAAATCAGAAGGTCTATCTCTGGATCCTGCGAGGATTGATAGGCCTCTCCTTCTTGATGAGCGGCTCCGGCCTAATCGTCATCTTGAATCAATGCCACCCCCTCGACAGGTACTGGGACAAGAGTATACCAGGAACTTGCTGGCCACCAATCGTGGCCACCGCGCTTTCGTACGGGGCATCCGTTGCCAATGTCATCACCGACTTCAGCGTTGCGGCAATTCCGTTCTTTCTGCTTCGGCATGTGCAAATGCGATCTCGACTTAAGTTCTACGTGCGGCTCATTCTGGGACTGGGTCTCTTGTAAGTGATATTTCAAGATCTCTGCTAAACGTAGGGGATTATGTACATGAGGCTTTGACTAACTACTTTTGTTGGTAGAGCTGGCATTGCGAGTATTATCCGAGTACCCTTCACGAATGCGTACATGAAAGCGAGCGACGTTCTGTGTAAGAAGACCCGCGCATCCCGATTGTTTCGCTACAATCCGTACAAAGCAGCACACTGACATTCCTGCAACTGTGTAGACCATGCAGGTAACATAGTTCTCTGGACAATCGTCGAATGTGGCCTAGGCATCATTGCTGGCTCGCTGACAATGCTACGAGCTTTCTTCAAACGATTGGCCAAGGATACCAGCACGCAGGAACCCTACAACCGTTCGGGCGACACAAACCTCGTGACCTTTGGACAGGGAAAGGGACGACAGGGTCCGATATACGAAACGGACCTAGGAGTGACGGTGATTGGGGGAGCGGGGGATAATGACAGCAACAACAGCAACCATGACGATGACGCGGAGAGCACACGGCGAATCATCAAGGTTACGAGAGAAGTACGGCATAGCGTTACTAAAGAGAACAAAACCAGGCCGGTGAAAAGTTGACGTAAGATTCATGAATAACACTAGCGTCTATAGAGAATGAGTCGCATGTACCCAAGTAACGTTAACCCATTTCCCTTGTAAGATGGAGGATGTTCCCAATGAAGTGCATTATGGTCCGCCAAGTCATAAGGCGTGCTTTCATTGCCAATGGTATTCGTAAGTATAAAACTCATCGGAAAACCGAAGCGCCATGCCGATAGGCAGTTAAAGCAGCTTGACAAGAATGTTGAGACTAGATGTCCAAGTGCTTGCGAATCTCTCCCAGGACCACTTCTGGCTTTTCGGCATGAACACCATGATTAGCGCCCTCAACCAACAAAAGTCTAGCTCCGGGGATTCTTTCAGCAATCAACTTGGAGTTTTCTGCAACGTTTCATGGTTAGCGTGGACCAAGTTACTCTACAATTTTGGTAAAGTTCCTACCAGGAGGACATATCCAATCCTTGTCGCCCACGACTACCAGAGTCTTCGCTGTAATTTCAGAGAGTTGTTCAGTGTAATCAAAGTATTTCTCTTTCTCGGAGTATAGATCATCTGAGTTGAATGTCAATTAGTCTGGATATTTCACAAATCGACTCGGTTGAAGTTTACTTACTGTGAGACTCGGCGACGTAAACACCATCGAGGTTGCTCTTCAACGCTGCATCGGGGTCGAAAGTTTCCCTGTACAGCGGCATCATGGCGAAGTAAATCAACTGAAACTCGCGGTCGCTCTCATATGCACCAAAGACTTTGTTCTTCAACATGTCGACAGAGAAGCTAGGAACTTTGTGGATCCTCGCCTCCAGAGTTTTGACGGCGCCGGCCTCGTCTGGTGGTGATGTTGTCAACGCTCAGCCCTCATAAAGCCAGTGCAGGTTGCGCAACTTACGGTGATGAGATGGTGCAGTCCCTCTGAGAATCAGATGCGATACTTTCGGGGCGTACTTGATGGCATAGTGCTGTGCGAGGAAACCGCCGAAACTACCGCCGCAGATGATGGCCTGATCATCTCCAATGAAATGCTGTCTTACCGCTTCGATGTCATCGACGATTTGCCCAAAGGTGTAAGGCTTAGTCAACGAACTTTGGCCATGGCCACGGTAATCGAAGGACAGAACTCGAATCTTATCGCTTAACTGGCCATAGACTTTGAAGTCGGATTTATGATCACCTATATAATGTCAATTCTGGTCAGCAAGCTTGTCTTGTCACGCTGGACTTTCAATCAGTGTACCCATTCCGCGACCGCCATGCAGCGTGATCATGAGCGGTGCATTGTTAGGCCCGGCTATGCGATATGCCAGGCGGGCGCCATTGATGTTCACAAAGTCAACCATCTTGTCCTGAGCACCGAGTCAGTAGTTTCAAAATAGCGCTGGTAATTTAAGGAGTCATCAGAGATCCTCAAAGTTCACGGACAAGGTAGCAACATGAACTTTGACTAGTATGTGTTTGATAGCTACTATCACGTTAGATCAACACAGCGTTGAGGACTTCTGGTAAGGCGCCGTTCCGTTATCCAAAGGGCGTGTTGCATAAGAAGCCGAAGAAGCGGGGAGAGATCCAGCGAGCCGAAGCGAGAGCGGCCTTTGCTTGGCGTGCGAGTAAGGAGTCACTAAGCACCGGAACTAGCCCGACAGAAACTTCCAAAAGGGGTAAAGACACAAGGCCCCTCCCCGATACCACATCGGAAGGGAAAAAGATTTTGTTCTCGATGGCGCTTTGTTCGCCGTCAATGGTGAGTCGGTGACAGGACAGTCTCGGTCAAGTCAGCTTGAAGAAACGACTGCCGATGTCGTGCTCGACCCAGTAAAAATCGTTATCAAGTCTCTTTTTTCGGACCATCGACCGCTTCTCTAGTGTATCGAGGGAGGGATATGCTATGATAAAGAATCTCCTGCCCAGGTTCAATCTTCACTTTTGCCAAAGACGCTCCATCTGCTTGGCCTAGATCACCGACCGTGGGCACGTTTGGAGTTTTCTTGTGATCGTGCGACGAGATCAAATTTAGTGATAGCTGCAGCTCGAACCAGGATGGCGCCGCATCTTGATACCAACGCGGCCAATGCCATTAAGACAGTCGACCCAACCAACCGGAGCCAAATTAAGGACGGCATTTCGACCACGTCCGTCGCGGCCGAGACCGATACCAAGCCGGAGCCCCCACAGCAACCTGAATTCGCGGGATGGTTCCACTGGCACGAGCCCGGCACATCGCCGGAGGAGAAGAAGTTGATTTTCAAGTTGGATTGGTTTCTACTTTCATTCTCGTGTCTCATGTTCTTCATCAAACAGGTAAATGCACCTACCCCCAAGCATCGCGTTCAGCCGGAGTGCTGACTCCAGTGCTCTTCTTTAGCTTGACCAAAACAACATCTCCAATGCCTACGTATCCGGCATGTCGGAAGAGCTCAACTTCGGTCCCGGCAACGAACTCTCCTGGATGAACACGTACTTCAACATTGGAACCATCATTGGCGGTTCTTTTGCCAACCTGATCATCACTGTCGTCCGACCGCGCTTCTGGCTGACCGGGTGCCTCTGCACTTGGTCTCTCTTCGTGCTTTTCCTGTTCAAGTGCCAGACCGCCACGCAGTTCTATGTCCTGCGTTTCTTCATCGGCTTGTTTGAGTCTGCCGCATGGCCTGGCGTCATGTACGTCCTCGGATCATGGTATCGCAAAAGCGAATTGTCCCGCCGCTCTGGCCTTTTCGTCATGAGCGGTGTCTTGGGGCAGATGTTTTCCGGCTATCTTCAGTCTGCCTTGTATTCGGGTATGGGCGGAAAGGGTGGTCTGTCAGCGTGGCGATGGCTTTTTGTCTTTGATTTCATTCTTGCCATTCCCGTGGTGATCTATGGCGTCGTAAGTACCTCTCTTCGATATTGACTTCCATAGAACATCGCATCTTTCTAACGTCATTATTAGATTTGCTTCCCCGATACCCCTCACACGACAAAGGCTTTCTACCTCAGTGACTGGGAAAAGCAACGTGCTCGCGAGCGGATTGAAGAAGAAGGCCGCAAACCTGTCGGCAAGATGAACTGGTCCGTTATAGCCCGCGTCTTCGGCTCATGGCAAGTCTACGCCTTCACAGCAGCCTACTCCTTCTGGACTCTGACCTGCGGCTCCTACATCATTCAATACTTCACTCTGTACCTCAAGTCAACAAAATTGTACACCGTGCCAGAAATCAACAACATCCCAACCTGCGTTGGTGCCATCAACTTCGTGTTCATGGTCTCCACAGGCTACGTCTCTGACAAAATTGGCCGGCGCGGACCCGTCTGTTTCGCCGTCGGGTGTCTTCTGACGTTCGTCTACGCCGTCCTCGCGGCATGGAGCGTGCCACATATGCTACGCATGGCCGTCTTCATCCTTGCAGGGTGCTATGGTTGCTACACGCCTTTGCTGGCGGGATGGGCGAATGAGGCCTGCGGTGGCGATCAGCAGAAGCGCGCCTTTGTGCTTGGCTTCATGGTCTCCGTCGGCCAGGCTGTTATGATTCCCTTCCAGCAACTGCAGATGCCGAGCGGACAGGCCCCTGCATTTGCCAAGACACATGGGTGGAAGAGCGCGCTTGCATTTGTGGTGGCGTTGACTGTCTGGACTGGTGTTGGTCTGCCGTTACTTCAGAGATGGAGAGAGTCTCGTGTGAAGTTCAGTTCCCATGAAAGTGACAGTGATGAGGCTTAATTGCCCATCAATATGTAGGGTCAAAGGGCGGAGGACACAAAGTCCAGTGCAGTCTTTTGAAGCGATCAATTATGTCAGTGTTCTAAAGGTAATGAGTGGTGGTATGTCTACAGATAGACACAACTAGATCGACGTTATCTCGCGATGGTGGATCTCATGGGGTATCAATTTGGGAGTTTGAAATAAGAACCAGTGTCATTGACTAGGTAGGTGTATTCAATACAAGAAGGTTAAAGCCATACTGTGAAGAAAGGAAAGTTCCAGACATCCAATCGTATATCCATGCCACAAATCCAGGGCTCCCTTCAAGCATCTACAGGTAGATGCTCCTTCTATCAAGACGTACATGCCTCACTGATGTTGCACTCAAGCGAGAGCACCCTTGAGGAAGGTGCCTGCGGTGTTGACATCGGCGCCATATCCAATGTGGCCAGAGGCGCTTTGGCTCGAGCAGCTCCCGGAGCTGGCGCAGCCACCAGCGGAGCAGACGCCGTCGCCAGCAGCGCAAAAGCTCCTGAACTTGGCGGTAGCAACACCAGTGACAGCTTGACCCTTGAACGGGTCACCGAAGGTGACGGCCGCAGCGACGGCCTTGCCCGAGAGCTTCTTAGCGGCGTTGTGGACGACCATGCCGCCCTGGCTGTAGCCAGTGAGGACGATCTTGGTCTGGGGGCACTTGCTTAGCCACGAGTTGGCCTGGTTGGCCATGGCGACACTACCCGGGCCGGAGCCAGTTGCCTCGGACATAATGCCGGCCATGTCAGCTGCATACGTTGTGCCCTCGAAGACGGAGTCGGGGACGTTGGACGCAACGGCCTTTTGGAGACCGGGGCCGACAACGGTTCCGAGAGTGCCCATCTCGGTGGTGCCGCGGGCGAAGAGGACGGTGAAGGCCTTGCAGCCTGAGGTCTGGCGGATCTCAACGGGGCTAGCGGCCGCGAGGGCGGCGAAGAGGATGGTTGTGATGGCAGCGGTCTTCATTCTGAGGGAGTTGGTTGGTTGTTTGTGGTTGTTTTTGAAGGGAATGTCTTGTCAAAAGAGCGAAGTCTGGTATGGCGACGGTTGAAAGAGTGTGCGCTGCACTTGATTGGCAGATGTGTGACTGAAAAAAAGCGAAAGTGAGAAGTCGTGAAGGGACTGGATGGTTCTTGATGTTCCTACTGATCCTTCAACATATATCCTGATGCCCAGTGATATCTCATGCTCTTATACCTCGAGGCCTGTCAGCCCAACTCCCGAAGCTCAAAGTCTTCACAACTCGATAGGAGGACCAGGGATAGCCTCAAAGGAACCACGATGTCATCCCAAGTTTGAGGCGATGGAGCCTAGTTCGTCCAAAAACGATGTTTCTTGCGATTCCTCCGTTTCATACTGATTGGTGGCTTCGTCCGTAGACACCAATGTCTCAACCTGTCGTTCGCAATCAAAAAAATCGGGAAGCATCTGTGCGGATTGACACGGCACTCCCGTCGAGGATCAATGCGGCGTGACACTGGTCTCTCTGCGGCAATACCACCGGGCAGAAGACCGTGCATAATGTTCTGTTCCTGTTGGAATGCAGGCATCCTGACTTGCCTGGCCTGCTTCGGAGCGCTTGGACTTGGCCATCACACCTGTCAGACCCAGTTGATTGGTTCTTAGTTGGTCTGACTAGTCGCACCATTTCACGGGGTTTAGGAGATATTTCCCATTTCTCATTATGCATGTCGTTTCTTCTCCAGCACCCATGAGCTCACAAACGGGCGATGTGGGCACAACTGCCACACCGTTGTCTTGGCCATGAAGACAAAACAGGGAGGTTTCCCTTCATCATACCCCACAGTCAAGTTGGTTGCTCCGAACTAACCGACTATTGATCAAAAGACTGGAGATCGTCGAAAGGGAACAATTGATTGGATTGCTCTGGACCGAGGCTCTGAAGCCTTAGTGCGCCGCTCGGTCGGTAAGGAGGATGCCGGGAATGATCCTCCTTGAAGGAAGATCACGGATTAAGTGGGCGCGTGGGCGCCAATCGCATCTCATCCTCCTCGACATCAGGCTTAGAAAGTTCCGAAACAAGGATATCCATCGTTGATGTACTCGATGAATTCGCAACTTGCTTTACATACTACATATCTCAATCATGTGCATTTGATGCGCAGAGTTCGAATCCCTTCCGTCCCGCCAAGGCGCAACGCCGCTCCGTCAACCTCAACGGCTGTCCTCAGAACCTCTCCACCTCTTCAACTCCACACCACCGCCAAGATGTCTTCTGTTGACGAGAAACACGCTCCTGAGCCCGCGGCTGCGGCCGATGTCGAACCCGCCACCGCCGCCCCGACAACAACCGCTGTTGACGGCCCCGTTCCCCGCCCTGCCGGCTTCATGTATCGTGGCTTCCGTATTGCTGGCAAGGAGCTCTGGTACGCTTCGCCCCGCATCCAGCTCTTCATGGTCTCCTTCGTCTGCTTCCTCTGCCCCGGAATGTTCAATGCTCTCGGTGGTCTCGGTGGCGGTGGTCAGGTTTCCACAAAGGCCTCCAACGATGCCAACACGGCCTTGTACTCCACCTTTGCCGTCGCCGCCTTCTTCGCCGGTACCTTTGCCAACCGTCTCGGTCTCCGTCTGACTCTCAGCTTGGGTGGCTTGGGCTACTGCATCTACGCTGCCTCGTTTCTGTCCTACTCTCACAACCAGAACGAAGGTTTCGTCATTTTCGCCGGTGCCTTCCTTGGCGTCTGCGCTGGTCTTCTATGGACTGGCCAGGGTGCCATCATGATGTCTTACCCCTCTGAGAAGGAAAAGGGACGCTACATCTCCTGGTTCTGGATGATCTTCAACCTCGGCGCTGTCATTGGTGCTCTTATCCTCCTCGGCCAGAACATCAACACAACATCGCGAAGCACTGTTACTGATGGTACCTACGCTGCCTTCATTGTTCTCATGCTGCTCGGTGCCATTCTTGCTCTCTTCATGTGCGATGTGCCCAAGATCATTCGTGAGGACGGCTCTAAGGTCATTGTTATGAAGAACCCTTCTTGGCAGTCTGAGTTCAAGGGTTTGTGGGAGACTCTGGCCCAAGACCCGTGGATCATCCTTCTGTTCCCCATGTTCTTCACCTCCAACGTCTTCTACACTTACCAAACCAACGACATGAACGCCCCTCACTTCAACACCCGCACCCGCTCGCTCAACAACCTGTTGTACTGGTCTTCCCAGATTATCGGTGCTCTCATCTTTGGTTACGCCCTCGACTTCCCCAAGGTCCGCCGTAGTGTGCGCGCAAAGGCCTCCTACATTACGCTTTTCGTATTGACCATGGCCATCTGGGGCGGTGGTTACGCATGGCAGAAGAAGCAAGCTCCTCGCGGCGAGATTGAGGGCAACTTGGACTACCCCACCATTGACTGGACCGACGGCGGCGAGGCCTACATTGGCCCCATGTTCTTGTACATGTTTTACGGATTCTTCGATGCCTGCTGGCAGACGAGCATCTACTGGTACATGGGTGCCCTTTCCAACTCTTCTCGCAAGGCTGCCAACCTGGCTGGCTTCTACAAGGGTAAGTCACGCGTTCTTCCACTGTTTTGACGCGTTCATACTGACATGATACAGGTATTCAATCCGCCGGCGCTGCCGTCTTCTGGCGTCTCGATGGTGTCCAAACCGAGTACAACACCATCTTCGGCGCTACCTGGGGTTGCCTTGCTGGTGCCCTCGTTATTGGTGCGCCCATCATCTTCTTGAAGATCAAGGACACTGTCACCGTCGAGGAGGATCTCAAGTTCTCTGACGAGACCATTGCGGACGTTGCTGCCCCGGGTACGGTCGACACCAAGTTGGAGAAGGAGGTCGCGTAAACTGTTGTGCTGAAGCGAAACTGGGGGCGATGCCTGCATGATATCCACGGGAGTTGCTGGGGATTTTACGTTGACGAGGGACGAAGATACCATGATGTGCTATACGCATTGGATGTTGTAATGTTGGATTAGGTCCGTTTATATGTAATGACAAGGCTTTATCAAGTCACATCCAGTCATAATTGCATGTTAGTGGTAAACTGCTGCAAGCTTTACTGATCTATGTCTTTTGTCTATCGTGATGCAGCGTTCGTCTCATACATACCCCCGATGTCTATCCTCCACCTCCTCGCCGCCATAACCCCCGCCACCCGGCGTATTGACCTGGATATACTCGCCTTCCTTGAGGTTGATAATCGCCTTTCCGCCAAGATTAATCTTTTCCATCCCTCCCTCCTCATTAAACAAGAACGCATAATTCTCCCCCTTTTGCCCCGGCCCACCGCCAGCCATACCCCAGGGTCTATACACCCTCCGATCCGAAAGAATACTAAACTTGAGCGGAATACGCGCCTGGATTTCGCGGGTGATTCCATCACCTCCACGATGCTTCCCAACACCACCGCTACCTCTGCGAATACCGTAGGACTTGACAAGCACAGCCGTCCGCTTCTCAATGACCTCCGCGTCCGTCTGGCGCGTATTCGTAGAATGCACGTGCGTCGAGTGCTCCCCGTCGTACCCTGCCCCCGCACCCACCCCGCCGCCGATACTCTCACCGTAATTCCACCCCTTGACGATTACTCCAGTCTCCGGGTCCCGCCCGCCCATGCCCCAGCCGAAACTGTTCGCGCACCCCTGGCTCGCGCCGTGTGTCCCGAACGCGCGGAGGATGACGTCGATGACGCGCTGTGAAGCGAGTGTGCTGCCGCAGATGGCGACGCCGGGGCCGGGGTTCAGGACGGAGCCTTGCGGTGGGAGGATGATGTCTACAGGGTTCAGGCAGCCTTGGTTTAGGGGGATGTCGAGGCCGACTAGGCTTCGGATGGTGTAGATTATGGCGGAGTGGGTGATGGAGACGGGGCAGTTGTAGTTTCCCCAGACTTGGGGGCCCGAGAGGGAGAAGTCGTAGGTTGCGGTGCCGGTTTCGGGGGCGATTGTGATGTTCACGTGGAGGGGTGTGCCGTCGTCCAGGTGGTCTGTCGCGGAGAGACCGGTCGGGTGGGAGGCGGCTAGGGATTTGAAGTAGGTTCTGACGGCGGTTTCTGCGTTGGCTTGGATGGCGGACATGTACTTGTGCACCACAGCGACGCCCTGCCCCCCCTCGCCTTGCTCGGCGCAGAGTTTCCGGAGGAGGAGGATGCCGCGTTGGTTCGCGGATGTCTGGGCCTTCAGGTCCGAGATGTTGTCGGCGAGACGGCGGGAGGTGGAGCAGCCTGGGAGAGAACCTGCTTTCTCGAAGGCGGCGACGACGTCGGACTCGAGGAAGTGGCCGCGGGAGACGATCTTGAGGGTGGGTACGTTGAGGCCTTCTTCCCAGAGTTGGCGGGACTCAGGCATCATTGAGGTTATGCCTTTGCCGCCTATGTCTGTATGGTGGCCGCGGGAGGCGACGTAGAAAGCGATTTCTTGGTTGAATGTTTCGTCACTTGCTGGCTTGTCGGCGGAGGGTGATCCAGTATCAACAAAGACGGGCGTGACGACGGTCAGATCTGGGAGATGTGTGCCGCCCCATTGCGGGTGGTTCGTGAGGAGGACATCGCCGGGCTGGAGGCGGCCTTTCCAGTGGCGGTGTTGTTCCTGGATGGCGAATTGCATGGAGCCGAGGTGGATGGGGATATGGGGCGCGTTGGCGACGAGTTTGCCTTCGGGGGAGAAGATTGCGCAGGAGAAGTCGAGGCGTTCTTTGATCGAGGTGGAGATTGCGGTGCGTTGAAGGGTGGTGCCCATTTGTTCTGCGATGGCCATGAAGCGGTGGGCAAAGACGGAGAGGAGGATTGGGTCCGTGGTTTCTGGTGTCGCGGTCTGGGGTGCCGGTGTTGGTGTTGTGGAAGTGGAGAGGGGTAATGTTGATGAAGCTATTGTGGAAGTTTGCTTCTCGAGAAGGACGTGGGAGGAGAGGATGTACGCGCTGAACGTCGGCGATACAAAGATTGTCTGCGTCTGGTCGATGAGCAGAGCTGGTCCCTCGATTACGACGCCTTTGGGAACTTCATCCAGACGATACACGCCCGTCTCGCGCCACCCGCCGTTGATGTAGACCCTCTGCTTCATGCGCGACTCTGGAGCGGCAGCTACACCACCGCTAGCACCGCTCCTCCTATCCGCGAGCTCCTGAGTCGCAGACGTCTCCCGCATCCCGAACGCGCTCCCGGCCGCGCTGCCTGTCCCACGGACCTTGATCGACTCAATAACGATGTCCCGGTCCATCGAGAAGGCAAACTCGCGGAGGTGCGTGGCCTTGAAACTCCCTGCATAGTCACCATCCTCGGGGCGGGAGATTGTTAGGTTGGTATCGGTGCCAAAGTACCGCAGCACAAGACTCTCGTCAAAGACCAGAGAAGTCTCATCCGCACCCTGGGATACTAACTCTTGCGTCACCTTTTCCTTCAGCGCAGCTAGACGGTCAGCGACGTGGGATGCTACCGCTCCTTGTACGGCGCTATCGCTGTGTTTGAATTTCGCACCGTACGGCTCGAGGGTCTCGCTCTGTAGCTCTGCCTGCGCGATGCCGTATGCCGAAAGCAGAGAGGAGAACTTGTGGATCAAGATGCGGCGGATGCCGAGTTTATCGGCAATCTCGCAGGCGTGCTGCCCGCCTGCGCCGCCAAAGGAGACGAGGTTGTGGTTCTCGGGGGCGAAGCCGCGGGCTTCTGTTGCGTTGCGGATGGGACGGGCCATTGTTTCGTTTGCGACGTCTAGGAAGCCTAGGGCTACGTCGTGTGGCTGGAGAGTCTGGTTCGTCTGGTCGTTGAACTCTTCCGTAATTTGTTTGAACTTCTCTTCGACCACAGCGGTATCGAGCGGCTCAGAGGCGGACGGTCCAAAAATGGAAGGGAAGGAAGACGGAACAAGACGGCCAAGGAAGAGATTCGCGTCAGTGACGGTCAAAGGCCCGTTCTTGCGGTAACATGCCGGTCCCGGGTGCGCGCCGGCGCTCTCAGGTCCTACAGCTAAGAGACCGTTGCGCGCAAAGAGGATCGAGCCGCCGCCAGCTGCTACGGTCGCGATGTTGAGCATGGGCGTGGTGATTGTGCGGCCAGCGATGGAGGTTTCGGTAAGGTAGTCGTACTTCCCATCGTACCGCGAGACGTCGGTGCTGGTACCACCCATATCGAGGCCGATGACGGGCGTGTCGTCCTGAGGGTCATAGCAGGACCTCGCGATGCCGACGACGCCGCCTGCGGGACCGCTCAGGAGTGCCTCATTGCCGCGGAAGCGGGAGGCTGCTTTTAGGCCTCCGTCGGAGCACATAAAGTCTACGCGGCGTGGCGGGGCGTCGGGGAGGAAGCCTGTGTGAAAGGAGGCGACATAACGCTGGATGACGGGGTAGAGGTAGGCTTCTGAGCATGTTGAGGTGCTGCGGTTGAGAAATTTGATGGTGGGAGAGGTTGATGACGAGGTTGTCACGTAAGAGAAGGCGAACTCGGGAGAGCGGGCGAGGGAGGCGACGAGGTCTTCGTGGGCGGGATAGAGGTAGGCGTGCATGAAGGAGATTGCGACGGAGGTGTAGCCTGCATCTTTGAGGGCGCGGAGTTGGGAGCGGATGAGATCTGGGTCTGGGCGGCGGAGGATGCGCATTAGATCGCCGTTTGGTGTACTGACGAGGTCTCCTTCTCGGGGAGTAGTTGATGAGGATGAGGTTGGTGATGATACTGAGGCGGACTTGAGAGCGGCTTCCTTGTCTAGTGGCGTTGGATTGAGATCGTAGTCTGCCGGCACGATGCGCTCATCGATCTCAACGACGGTCGAGTGTAAAGCCGTGGGCTTGCGAATGTTGAGATCAAAGAGTTTCGGACGAGACTGATCGCCGATGACGCAGACATCTTTGAAGCCTTTGGTGGTGAAGAAGGCGAAGCGCTCCCCCTTGTGTTCTAAGAGGGCGTTTGTCGCGACTGTGGTGCCGATGCGGCATGATGCTAGGAAAGTGTTAGAAACAAGATCGAAGAGAGTTGATTAAATGAGTATGCACCGATGCGCGACCCATCGAGTTTTTGGCCGATGGGGATGGGCTTCTCCTCCACGAATTCGAGGACGCGCCTGATGGCTTCTGTTGGGGCGTCAGGGTAGTTTGCCGGGTCTTCGGAGAGGAGCTTGAAGATGAGAATTTCACGGCCGTCAATTTCGGCGATGACGTCGCAGAATGTACCGCCGCGGTCGATTGAGACTCTGATGTCGGCGGCCATGATGCTCAGGAGAGATTGGCAGTTCCTTGTGGTGTTGATTCTCAGATGAGTTTTGGCCGTGAGTCAGGACTCAGGGATTCAAGATAAATGTTTTCAGTGAGTGCTCATCATTGAGAGTGAGCTGAAGTGCACAAGAACTCGCTTAATTCCAGCCTTCAAGAACGTGGTTTATGAGCGGACATGAGTAGAACTCATTAGAATATATAAGAGAATGTCGTGAGAAGTCTCATTAGTCTTGCCGTTCCTTGCGGCAATTCATACCGAGTGCCTGGTGGGAGGGTCCGCCGATTCCGCCCCTCCTCAGACTATTCACAAAATAAACAAGCGTCTGCTGGTCGGGCGTGTCGGGCGCCACGATTACGTGCGACCGGACGCCATCCGCCTTCTGCAGACCCAGCGTCGGGTCTTCTCCGACAAAGACTCTACTTCGCCAGCTCATGCTTATCGCCCATCAAGTGAAATCGGCCAAATGGGTTCGGTATTGTGTCTACATTTCACGGGGTTCATTTGGCGGGAACGAGTTTACTTATACATACGATTGCGCCATTGATCCCATAGAATGCGCACCTTAAGTCATCCCCGGATGTTTGCCCCGGGGGACGGGTCGATCATGACCCCTCTCAAAAGTTACGTGAGCACCGCGGTGTCCGGCTTCCGAGGCCGGAACCAGGGTGCGCCACCGTCTGTCAACCGGAGCTTTCCTGTTATGTTTGCGACGAGCAGAATGCTTGAGCTAAGTTTTGGAGATCGCGTGGCAAGTATCGTTCAGTTCGGACGGAATAACGTGGGAGACTGAGTCGAAGGCCAAAAGACACGCCGATCACTCAAGAAACTTGGCAGCCTCGGGCAGACAACCTTGTTAGGCACTCTCGTGGCACACAATTCTGCGCCGGCCTTTATCACTGTTGGGCTCTCCCTTCGATGAGTTCGTCAACTGGCAGCAGCTCAGACGCCATTTTGTCCATGAGATTGGTTTTTGTGGCAGCAAAACTGGGTGCACTGAACTGGAACTCAACAACTTCGAACATTTCCACTAAACTCGGCAATGTGCGTTTGCAACATCGCTTGGGTCAACAGAATCACTGGCTACGATGGGATCTGTCTTCTGCCATCTATCTCACCTCATGATAACAATCGATTCTCGTTTCCGGCGAATCAACTGGCAACAAAGTGTTGTTAGCAGTCGACTCAGCATATGCACGTTGAATCTCCCGATTTTTTGCGACTGACTCGGCGCGTTGTGGGCTGACGTGAAGAGAGCCCGGAGGCCTACACTCTGAGCTCACTGGTCTAGGATCGCTAGACATCACCAAGGTCATACGCGAACCTTGAGACTTATCAAAGACTTAGCAAGACTTGCTAATCTTGCTCAACGCGCGCGCCTCGTGGTCCATAAACCCAAACACCTGAAAGCGGCATGACATTTCCGGAACCCAGTATCCGCAAGAATCTGGGGAAAGCCTTGGCTACTTTCACTTTCCACCAACGAGCTACCCAGGCAAAGCGCGCCTAGTGAGCCAACGTCCAACAGCGCTCCGCTTTGCAATATAATTAAGTTGCCATTGTCCGTCCGATTGCTTTGTCCGGCAACTGTTTCCCAAGGGGGTGCTATACAGACTTGACTACTAATCAGGGCTGCGAGACACCACGCGTTCAAGTTGAAACGTCACTGTTAATATAAATGGAACGCATGAGAGCAAAGCCACGCCACAGAAGCCCGAAAGTGTTCGTCTCAGCACACGGGTCTTTTTTTAAGGTTCTCGGTTGGGCGGCACTACGCACCAAGCCCACGGTTCCACGGCGACACCGACTACCTATCCCACTCGGAAGCTCTCGAGTTGCGTCGCTTCGCTTAGGATGGCCTCGAGACATCGACTCGAGTCAGCGAGATTATGATGCTCTATCAAAGGCTTGGACGGCAGTTGCTCTCCGTGAATCGACGAGAAACTTCTATATAAGTAATTGAGTGAATCCTTCAATGGCGTGATATTTCTCCTTCATCTCAACATCACTCACTCACACAACTGTCTCTCTCGCTATAACTCACTACCAAGTATCAACTTGCCGCCCTTTCGATCTCAATCAATCACCACCATAAACAACAGCCAAAATGCAGTTCCCTACTTTCGCCGTCCTCGCCAGCATCATGGTCGCTGGCGCCTCCGCTCAGGCCACCTACGAGACCGCAAACTACCTGTCCGTTTGCCAGCAGGGCACCAACCTCTTCTGCACGGGCAACACCAACGTCTGCCAGAAGGGCAAGACGGACACCTTTGACGCCAAGGCTACCAAGGCCAACGAGGAAGCCTGCAAGGGCCTTCAGCGCGGCAACAGCTGCACGCAGACTGTCGCTTGCGTCTAAATTCTCTGGACCAAGTTCGTTTCTTTGATCATTCTCAAGCGATGAGGGAGGAATAGATTGTTTTCGGCATGGTTGATGGCGTTGTTGTTTAGCACAAGCATTGGCGAGGAAAGGGGTCGGCCGCGAAATGGGGCACCCGCTGCATCAAGATCGCAAGTGAGAACGGCCAGCCTGAATTGGACTTCGCATCTTATCATGAAGATGGCGCACTCGAACAAATAAAAGCATCCTTCTCACACTTCTGACTGCCATCGTACCTAAGTGAAGTGCAATGTCCCTTGTAATAGGTTGCCTTACCTCTGGCCGAGCAGCCATTCTACCTATCTAGGAGCCTCGGGGACCGGGAGCACAGAGCTAGTGTTTGTTGACAGGCGAGTTCGAGTCGTGCGAATCGAGGAGCTTCACTCTTGACATCCCACCCGAAAGCCGTGTTACAAGACCCGTTGTTTTCCTCCGGATCTTGCTAGATGCCTAACTGCTATTGGAAAGAATTCAAAGTTTAAAAAAAGTCTTGGATCGGTTGGACCCCGCTTTATCTTCAGAACGTTTCCCAGTTCCCACCACGTTTGTTGCAGTCCTAGCGTCGTGGTCTGATACTCCATCAATCCAGTGAAGATCTGCAAAAAAAAAAAAATGGCCTCTACGCAAGCTCAGTCTCTACACGGCAAAGTCGCTATCGTGACTGGCGGCTCCAGAGGAATTGGTGCCGCCATTGCTGTCGAACTAGCCAAGAGAGGGGCAAACGTCAGTTCAGACCTTAGTCAAGTTTTCCGATCATTGAAGAACCTGGACTTCTGACAGGAACCCCTAGGTCGTTATCACTTTTGTTTCAGAGAACAGCGTTAGTGTTGCGCAAGATGTAGTAAACAGCGTCAAAGCCTTGGGCAATGGGGCGGATGCCGTCGCAGTGCGAGCCGACGTGTCCTCGCCCGACTCTCCCGCGCGGGTCGTCGAGACCGCTGTCAAAGCGTTTGGAGAACACATCGACATCCTTGTGAACAACGCCGGTATAACGTCCAAACTACCCGTGTCAGAAGTTACACCAGCAAACTTCCAGGAGAGCATCGACGTCAACCTCAAAGGGCCCTTTTTCATGTCTCAAGCCGTCATACCGCACCTCCGCCGTCCAGGCCGCATCATCAACATCACCTCCGTCGCAGCGCGGGGCGGCTACGCCTCCGCGAGTCTCTACTTGGCCTCCAAGGCCGGACTGGAGGGTCTCACGCGTGCCTTAGCCGCGGAGTTGGGCCCGGCGGGACATACCGTCAACGCGGTTGAACCCGGTGTCACGGAGACGGACATGGCGCGCGACTCAGGAGCCTCGGAGGCTCACGGGGAGCACGTCAAGATGATTGTGGCCATGACGCCTTTTGAGAATCGGATGGGCAAGCCGGAGGATGTCGCGTATGTTGTTGCTATGCTTGCGGAGGAGCAGGCGAATTGGGTTACTGGGCAGACTATATCTGCTTCTGGTGGGTTCTCAATGTTGTAGGCTACCTTAAGTCCGAAATATACAGCTGCCATTCCGCTCAGGAGCCACTTCAAGATCTTATCAAACGAGTTTGCGTGTCTCATAAGCTTGACTACGATTGTTCGAGGGGCGGCAGCCCTCTTTGATGTTTGGGTTGTTCGCTGATAATTTTGGTTTACCGTCAAACTCCAGACTGATTGTGATGAATTATTCAAAATTGCGTAGATTTGACTCCAGCCCCTGCCCAAATCCCAGGCCTTACTGACGCTTACAACAACAAAACGATCACGCGGCCATCATGAGCTCCTGCAGGCGGCGCAGAACCTCGTCCTCACCAGGATAGTCAGGACCCTTGATAGACTCAAAAGCCGGCAGCAGGACGGCTTCGTCAATCTCCTTGTACTTTCCAAGCTGCACGTGAATCACATTCCCGTTCCGGGATGTATCGGCCATCAGATACGCTGCGCCGCGGGCAACCGCTTCTGCGGTCTGGAATTCGACTCCAATCTTGGCCATAAGGCCTTTCAAGTCCGGCAGTACGCTGCTATCCGCCCACGTTGGCGCCAAGGTATTGACTCTGATGGGCAAATTGGCGGATGCGATGAGCGGGATCAGACCACGTCCGAATCCGAGGACCGCATGCTTGGCCGTGGCTGAGTTGTGTTGTTAGCTGGAAAGGCGAGCCACGGAAAGGCCTCAAACTTACAGTAGTCCACGGCACGAAGCCGTTGGAGACCGGTGGTAGAACCGTTGATGACAATACTGCCACCCTCGGCCTGTTGCCGCATGTAGTATATCGCGATCGTAGCCGTGTGCATTACACCTGTGAGACTGACATCCAGAAGCTGGTGAGTGGGTTCCTTCAGATCGCCATTCTCATCTACTTCCGTCGACAGATAGTTGGCGCGGGGACCGAGGCCAGCGTTCGCAAAGACATGATCGATACGTCCATAGATCTCTTTTGCCTTCTTGAAGAGTGCGATCTGTTCAGCCCAGACGGTGACATCGGTCTTCACAAACGTGTAAGAGTTTTCGGGTTGCTCCGCTGGCGGCTGAATATCTGCGTTGATGACGGAAGCACCCTGTGAAAGAAGCGTGTTGACTGCAGCGAGGCCAATGCCTGATGAACCTCCTGTCACGATGGCCACCTTGCCCTTGAGCTCGACCAAGTCTTTGTCTTCAATGAGGAATTCGGCCATTTTTGTGTACACAAATGCGATGTCGTTGAGTTGGAGTTGCACACACGTGGCTTGGCGGAGCTTGTCGATATTAATAGCTGATTCACCCCAGACCCAGTCACTCGCAGACATTCTTCAACCCCATCCCAAAAACCAGGCAACTGTGATGTCGTGCAACGTGTCGGTGGCCGAATGGGACTCAGACCGGGATTTGGACTGTATGCGGTGTAGCCAGGCCCATTTTCAAGCTAGGGAAGCGGAAAAGCGGCCACTTTGGACTTTCTGTTTTAGTTCCAGAGTGCGACGCGTCGAGTAAAAAGCGTAAGCTGGGTGAGGGCCCTGGTGCTTTGCGGTATTTCTCAGTGATCAGTGACAGGGGTTTTTGTGGGATGTGCATTGGGGGCGGCCGCCGTGTCGCAGAGCAAGGGCAGGAATTATATTTTTGACGGTCTCGTAGCGCTGACTGGACCTTGCCGGTAAGTGAAATAATGTGTCTATCTCCTAATAATTGTAGATCGTCCCCTGCTGATCGAACAATATCCAAGTTGCAATCTCCAGCGCTCATATGACTGACGCTGCATGTCGTTACCAGAAAGAAAGGACTGAAGGGTTCAAAAATGCCGTAACAGTTATCTACTTTGAACAACATTACTTGCAGGCTAATATCCTTACAATTGAGGAGAGGCATGTCGGGGAGCTCATGATTCAAACAGACTTCTTGCTGCACTCAGTCAAGGACTCACGTCTAACCGGTATACATGATTGTGAAGAGGGGTAGATACTTGAAGATCGCCGCTGGCTTTAATCGTTTAGAATAAGATTGAAATGCATATGTGACCAACTGACTAACCACCAGAGATCTATCACAGACTTCAGTCTTTGAAGTGAGGGTGGAGTGCATGAATGACAACGTTGAAACTACTCAACTAACAACCTGCTTGTTGAGGAATAGGGTTTGCACATTACAGAACCCTTTCAGGCCATTTGCACCCCACTCAGTTCCAATACCACTCTCCTTGTGCCCTCCGAATGGAGCTAAAGGTGTGAGATCGAAGTGTGTGTTGACCCAAACATTGCCTGCTTGGATTTGCCTAGCAATCTTGGCAGCTTTCTCCAAATCGTTTGTCCACACGGATGCTCCAAGGCCCATCGACGTGTCATTGGCGCGGGAAACAACCTCATCCTCGCTGCTCCAGGAAAGGAGAGGAACAATGGGACCTGTTCAAAATGCATCAGAGCCAAAACTCTTATGGTTGGCAAGGGCTGGAGGAACCTACCAAAGGGCTCCTCGACGACCAGGCGCGACTTCTCAGGAGGGCGATCGATGATCGTAGGAGTGATGAAGTAGCCTTGAGACTGCTCAACGTTGCCGCCTACGGCAACTTTCCATCCTTGAGACTCGATGTCCGAGAAGAATTTCTTGACTCGTTCATACTGCATCGAGTTTTGCAGAGGCCCATGAGTGACGCCAGGTTGTGAGCCATCACCAAGGTTGTACCCCTTGACGTGCTTCACTAAGGCTTCCTTGAAGCGGTCAAAGATGGTCTCGTGCACGTAAATACGTTTCAAATTCAGGCAGATCTGATGTAAAGTGTAAGCGAATAGTTCTGTGTAACTACAGCATTATCTCAAGGTATTGGGATATAGGAATGATAGGATAAGAACACATACCTGGCCGGAGTTGAGAAAGGCGAAAAACGCCACCTATATTAAGTACTTTAATCAGTCGTACTAGGCTGCGAACTCTCTGGATTATACACACCTTTTCAGCGACCTTGTCAACATCTACATCCGGGAACACGATAGCAGGATCGTTTCCTCCCCTTTTGTCGTCAGTCTTTACCATAAGGTAATAAGCAATGCCGATACACTCACAATTCCAGCGTGACTCTCTTCAATGTCTTGCTTGCGCTCTGCATTACCAATTTCCCTGTGGCTGTGGATCCAGTGAAGCTGATCTTGTCAATGCCGGGGTGACTTGTCAACCAAGGGCCAAGGTCGTCGTCTCCGCTCAGAGACTGAACCACACCCGGCGGAAAGAACTGTTGCGCTAGTTCAACTAACTTCAGCCCACAGTACGGGGTGAATGGTCTGCGAGTTTCTTAGCATCCATAGCATAAGCTCCCATTGTGCCAACATCCTTACGATGGCTTGACAATGATCACATTTCCAGTCAGGAGGGCCGGTGCGATTTTGCCCGTCGCGAGAAGCAAGGGAAAGTTCCAAGGAACAATAGCGCCGACTACACCCAGAGGAGCATAACGAGTGATAATGGTCCGGTGATCGGTGTCCTCTACAACATCCTCCGGTAGTTGGATTCCGGCCATGCCATGGATCCAGCTGATCGCCGCCTCTGTCTCAGCATCTGCTTGAGGTATCTAGGAAGTGTAAGCGTAGCTCGGCAATTTGATGCTACAAACAAGACTGCGGCTTAGGGTTCATACTGGCTTTCCTTGTTCAGAGATCAGCAAGTCTCTGAACTGAGTTCGGTGGCTATCCACAGCATCCGCATATGCCAAAACTGCCCTCTTTCGGTCTTCGTAGGAAACTTTCGACCATGCTTTGAAGGCATCTTTTGCTGCAGCGACGGCAAGATCAAGATCCTTGCGCGTAGCGATAGGGACCTCTGCTTTCGCAATCAGGTTTGCCGGATTAATGCCATGACGATTCTTCTCTGTCGGAGAAGCTTTTCCGTCGATAATTTGGACAAAATGATCGTTGAAGCTCAGAGCCTCAGAGCGGCCAGTATTGGTAGTGGCGGACATGACGCGTTGCACTTAGAGCTTGGAAATCACCGACTGTAGAAACACAATTTGTACCCCGCACATATTGTTGAGGTTAAACTGACAGGCTCGTAATACGTACAGATTGGTATGAGGGCATCACTCAACGGATATCTAAGACATTTCGGTTACTCAGCTGGCAGCACGAATACCCCGCATCTAGGGACACTGCAAAGACCGGACCGACCGCCGACACATCGGATATCATCTCCTTCTGAATCCTCGGCTAATATGAAAGTCTTTGGAGAGCTTCGGGCACATACCATATGTCTCTCGGTCCGCGATGTTCTCGTACACCCATACATCTACTTCACCCTCTTTTGTAAGTACATCACGAGACTTGAGATGGTTATACTCAGCCTTAAGCTGCTCAACTTGATGACTTCAAATATTGAACTTGTTCAGCAGTGTCTGTCCAGAAGGTCTCTATGTGAAGAAACTGCTAACAAGGTCCATACTTCGTCAAGGCTCTTTGCCTGGTTGCAACTTGCTGATTGGGTAGGAGATGCACAACGAGCCACAATGTATCAGGAACTGTGTTTCTTTTATCGACATGGCGTACTGCCCAAGAGATCTAGTAAGATGGAAAATGATTTCAAATCCTCGCGGAAGTCAACCCCGAAAGCTAGCCTCTTCGCACCGGATGATACGGGCCCAACGCTTTGCCGAAATTGAGCTTATAATCATTTCGCAACACTTCCCAAATAATCATCAATCTGAACATCAATCTTCTTTGAAGTCTTCCAAAGCACAAACATGGCATATCCAGATATGCTTGCCGTTCCTACAACAATGACTGGCCAAGCAACAGGAAACACAGGTGCGGTAACAAACAACAGCATTCCTCGGATCAGCCGTCCACGCCACGCAGAATGATACGGTGCTTCTGCCTGTTCTAGATTCTTCATGATACATTTCCCTTGAAGTCTCCTTTTCTGAGGTCCATCAGGCATGAAGCGAGTAAAGAGAACGGTAAAGGTTTGTCTAGCAAACCACCAACAATTGTGGTGAAGGAATGTGTAGTCGGATGCTGCTTGGTGGATTATTGAGAGTATGTTTGCCATTTTCGCCAACGTTGGAGGCAACGGACCAAGATCGACATCGTGTAAAGTCTCGTCGTCATGGTGAACCAGGCTTGACTTACAAGGTGCCGGTATGAACATCAACTTTGCTTCCTTGTCTGTTGCCTGCTTGCCCAAATGGCCCATTCGTTCAAGTCTAACCCACGAAGTTCTTGCCTCTTCTTGACCTGTGATGCAGACCAACAGGTACTCGTGTTGCAAAGTGCTGTGCTCTCTGCTCCATATGACCCGGGTGACTAAACCAGGTGTCTGGTGGTTGATAATATGGCGAATGATGCCCAAGCCTTTTTGTCCCAAAATTCCTTCCATCTCCAGTCGCGTTTGTAGCACCGAGCCTGCGACAATAAAGAGTAAGAACCGCATTTGGAGTTTTGTGATTCACTGATCTAACCATTTTGCTTACCTGTAACTCCTTTGGGGGTCGTTGGACCTCGACTCTGTGATGCACCCATGATTTGCTTGGAAACTAGTTACTATCTCAGGCCAAGGTCGAAGAAGAGAACAGACAGGGCGATCATCAAAGGATAAGAAGCGAGTTGCAGGCAGTCGATGCCTAGAATTTCTTTAGGATGCCTTGGAGATATGCACATTCATATTGCCACGGCCGACGCCTCTTTCGGTGGCACTGCCTCGTTTTGGCGTTTCTTCCTGGGTAGGACGCGGTACAGTCCAGTAAGGCAACCGAGACTAGCACCTAGCTCAGCCAACAAAGCCAAAGATCGTCAGCTCGCGATGCGATAGCTTGTTGGGCTCGACATAAATAGTGGCCGTGTCTTGCGTGACATTTGCAGTCAGGTGTCATACTCTTACACTCTCCTACACCACATCATCTACTCACCTCCAGGTTTCTGCGCGCTTTGACTGCAAAGTGGTTCAAGGCTGAGTTCTTTCTGTTGAGTGAAGATGGCTACGACATCAACGCCACGATCCCCAACCGGCGGCCAGGGACCATCAATTGTGTCGGGAGCCACAGGCACCAACCGGCAAGCCCCGCATGCTAGTGCGTCGCGGCCACATAGTCCGCCATTTTCTGCGTATCTTCAGCTTGTCGCATTTACTGCCACTATCACGGTTTCCGTTTCCATCTCGGCTAGCCAAGGATTTGCTACGGGAGGAAACTTCTTCGGTGTTCCTCTAACCAATGAGACTGATCCACCCATAGCAGCTGCCGTTCAGGCTACGGCAGACGCTTCGTACTGGCTCTCGTGGGCAGCAGCTACATCCTCGGTCTCATTGATGATCGCACTCATTCTACAGTTGATGCAAACAGATGAGATGTTCCTCGATGCGCTAGAGAGGACAGAGGGGGGCCGCAGCCACGAACTACCAAGAGCAGTCGTGGGGGCTGGGAGTTGGGTTGCTCTCTTGTTACAAGCAAGCGCATTAGCGTTCATAGGGCAAGCCCTGAGGGCGATTAACAGCAACAGCGGGAGCATGATACAGGTAAATGCCACTCTTATTTGACTTCTGGTGCTGGTGCATTGTAATTCTAATCTCGATCCAGTGGGCACTACTTGCCGTGGGGACAACTTTCGTGACCTTTTACCTACACACCATCAAGTTCCAGGACACGGTTAGGGACTTATTCCAAGATACCTGAGTTGAGTGAGTGGATATTCCTATGACTGAAGAGTTTTACTTTAGTTACAAGCGCTGATAGCGGAAGTGCTCTGATTATTGTAGAGTTCAATTGTGCGAAGGATAGAAGAATTTTGGCCGGTAGATATCATGCGATCTGGAAAGTTTAGTGCTTGAGCGTCGCTTCAAGTCCCCCGATGACTTAGTCTCGGTTGAATGTGTAGAGACCTCAAGACCTCCAGCATGGGGTTGAGCAAGACGAGCGCAAAAAAAAAAAAAAGGTTTTACTCTTTATACTTGAAATTTAAGGCGACAAACACCTCGTCTGTTCGGGTTCGTTCATGAATTATAGACTGTGACTATTGTTTTTTGTTTGACCGTGCATCCTGAAGGGCTAGAACATGCTTAGAAGGTAGCAACGGGAAAAGTGGTGACGTCTCACATGAAGCTTGATAGAGAGTACAAAGGTGAAATGATCTATACAGACCTACTTTGACAAGTGGCATGGATCGCTCCATGGCGATTAGTGTCAAGTCGTTACCCAACTACATGTGATATTCCCCCGGTGCCAAAGCAAACCATTCGAAATCTGTTCCCATAGGTTGCGATCATACTACCTCGGTAGTGCGTTGAGAGTCTGTACAACATCGCTTGGGCAACATGAACAGTCGGCTTAGAACCACTGGTGTGAGGTGTCATTGACTTGCTATAGAAGGAGGTGATGCAGCAATATCGAGCATGCATTCAATTCAACTTAGCATCTAGGGAAACGACAAACGTTGCCATCATCGACCCAGACCTTGAAGGTGCTCGCGGTACTGATACTTGATGGTTAGTCTACTATTCTATGGCACGAAAACACTGGCGAGGTTGAGCCACCCACTTCATGATCTCGTCCACTCTGTATCACAGTCAGAATTTGTGGCCAGACACCTTCTATACATCGCCACAATTGCAATATGTCTCTAGTAACTAGACCGATCTATCGATTTGTTTACGATACTTTGATGACAAGTAAGTCGCCGTTTCGGATTACAATTACGAAGCCTTGGCAAGAGCTTTGATATTAATTCGCGCGCAAAGAAAGACCCTCATTTCCACGATTCATGGAAAGACCACTATCATTGAGATGTGTTAATAAATCTTAACGCTAATGATCGCTGACTTTGATTAATACCAAGGCCATGCGAATTACAGCCATGAAGTGGCAACTATATTAGCACTCACTTCGTAGTCAATATACAGCCAAGGCAAGTCAAAGTGCTCAATAAATAACAGAACCCGTCCAAGGCAGGCACGCGTCTAGTAGCAGAATGAAATAACCGACCGCACTTTGACAATCATGCTTCATCTAAGCGCTTATTAACATCTTCAAATAACTTGGCGACTACGATTGCCCCAGCCCTTAACCAGATCGTCGACGGGCCGAATATGGCAATGATCATATGATATGAATCTAACAGCTCTATTGATGCCATACTACCTGTGGAGAAGCTACCTTCAAGCGTGGCGAAACATCCATTAAGAGTTTGCCTAATGCTATGCGACTTCCAGTCTTCAGCGTCGCATCGCTAGCAACTTAACTGCTGTGCTATCGTTCTCAGTCCTTGAAACCAGCTGTCACCCCGAAACTCTCCGAATATTGGTCGCCGCCATCCTAACTACAGTGGGGACCCATTAGTGTCCATACAGCGCACAGTATCCCGCAAAATCAGGGATTTTCAACAGTAAAAATAAGCATTAAGCATAACAATAAAAATAAAAATAAAAACATAATATAATATATTAA